CCCATGTCTGCTCCAGCAGATCCTTTGGGTCTCCTTAGCACTGATATCTTTTGAAAGGTTCAAGATATTGAGCAAACCTAGTTCTGATTAAACAGAAATATAAGTGTGCTGCCAGGGTTTGTCAGTGACATTATCTCCTATGTGTTGGGAATAGTAAAGTAAACAGGACAACAGCCCCTGCTGCTTGGGCTGGGGGATTTGTGTATATGGTAAGAAGAGATAGTGATAATAACAAAGAGAGGAAAATGAAGTGTTCCATTGAAGAGCTCAGACCCCACATCCCTTCAGCTCCTGAGCATGTGTGGCAGTAGCAGCTGCTTAGTGGAGAGCACCCCACTTTACTTAAAGACTGGTTAAACAAGAAGCTCCACTTGTTTTTCCCTTGCACTATGACACACACCAAAAGCTGCTGACACAAGCCTAGAAAACAACGATGTGGGATGTGCTGAGACTTGTTTGTACATAGATTTGCCCCTCCTTGGCTTAAAGCATTATTTTAAACAGAGATGCTAAAACTGGTGCCAGAGTTTTGCAGAGAAGGTGAGTTTCTCATCTGATTAAGACTAAATGGATACCTTTGGCTTCTCCTTCCCTCTACTTTATGGATAAAAAGCCCATTGCAGAGCCCAGGTTTGTGCCACAGTGCTGGGGAGCTTTGCTTCCCAGGGAGAGAAGGGACTTTGTCAGTGGACAGGGGTGTGAATATCCCATTCTGTGTCCTTGTTCCAAGTCACCTGGCTCTCCCTGCGACCCCCCATGACTGATACACCCCTGGCACTTGATGGGGGTTGTACCCCAGCATGTGAGGATGTGGACAAACCCAGCTGTTTGGTGTTCCAGGCTGGGTAGAGGGCAGGTGGTAAAACAGTTCTCCCAAATTATGTGCCCTCACTTGGCCTCCCTCCATTCCTTGGTGAAAGCCCATTTTTTCCAGTAGTCTGTGTATGTAATAGTGATGGCAGGGTCCCCCCATCCGAAATGGGGACAGGGATCTCTGTGGCTGTGTCTATTTCTGACTTTGCAACAACAGAAATTATGGGGAACTAGTCCAAGGGTACCAAAGGATGCTCTGCTTGAAGGTCAGGCCATGAAGGCTTTTTCCAGCCCTGAGAACATATTAAAACCCATGGATGGGTTGTCTATTTTGGTCTATTTTGTTCTCTTCTCTGCTCCACACAGTCTGTCCCTGGAGAGAAACCAGAGAGATGGGTTCTGGGTATTCCAGGATGCCATCCCCTGCCATGCCAGCAGAAAAGCAGAGTAAAGCAACAAGAATTTTCCTATGTTTCCCTCACAAGGGCTTTTTAGTGCCCTGGGCATGCACGTGCATAATTACAGTCATTGCCTCCCTGCTATCACACTGTTCATCTCCACTAGTAGTTTGTTCTGCATACCTGGCCCAGACCATTTCCAGGGGTATTTGTGGAGTAGAAAACCACACACCTGAGGCAAATCACTGAGGCTTTGGAGGTATTTCTACCCTAGACTCATGTGGTATCGCTCGCTGCATCTCATCCTGTACCTCTGAACTGGATTCCTCAACAGAACCACCCTGCTGTAAGCCTCTGGCCCCATTTCTACACCACTAGCTCATCTATGCCAAATACAACTTGTTCTTCTCGAAAGCTTCCCTGAAGTGCCTTGCTAAAAGCACTAACACCACTCCTGGGATGCTGCACAGTGTCCCTCTAGCTGTGAGTCACTTGAATGACTCCTGAGAAACTCAGAAAAGCAGGAGCATATAAAGAACAAAACATTTGCCTTTGTGGATTCCCTACTCTTTTTTTGCTGAGTGCTGCATCTTTGCAGGTGCAATGTCTTGTGCATCTGGAGAAGAGTCCAGTGTGAGGGAGAGCTGGGAGGCAGAGCCTGTGTGACTTCTAGCTATGTCAAAGATGTACAAGGCTTGCTGCCCATTTGCCTCAGTAACTGTGTCCCACTGGCCTGGGAGAGTGGAATCTGGGTGTTTCTTCATCTTGCTGAGAGTGGCCTGAAACCTGAATGCTAAAGAATGAGTTTGATTTCACAAGCTCCAGCCCCTGCAAGCACACTGTGCTCAGACACCACTCACCGAGCTGTACTGGAGAGCGTGACTGGCACAGCCACCCCAGACTGTAGGTGTGTTCAGGCATGTGCTCTGAGCTCCTTGTGCTCCCGAGGGCAAATCCAGGAGCCAAGCGTTGGGTGGAAACAGCCAGGGATCCTGGGGCAGCCTGAGAAGGCTGATGTCTCTCTGTAGGTGCTGCAGATGAAGGGCAGCCCAGGCTGCTACGCTCCCAGCACAGGAGCGGTGAGTCCTGTCTTTGCACAAACCAAACGTGTTTTCTTCAAGTGCTTGAGTCTGCCACAAAGCTCAGACTTTTCCTATGGCTAATTACCTTCCTTGTTACTAATTTGCATTTTATTTCCACTTCTTGTCTCCCAGCTACAAGCCCATCTCACGCCTCTGCAGATCGGAACACAGGGTTGGAGCAGATGTCTCTGTCGGATGGAGCTGCTTTATTTACCATCCTCTGTTCTGCAGACCTTGGATGGAATTTCCTCCCCCTCCCTTGCAGCCTCCTTGGTGATTCAAACTGCTTAAAGAGCTGATATCAAATCTGGGGCCACTGCTCTGTGAGTACCTTTATCAGAGACAATGTGATGCCTTGATGGGGCCAGCAGCTTTCCCTGTATCCCCTGTGCTCCCACTGCAGAGCCCCAGTGAGCTCTCTGCTGTCATCCCCATGGCACAAATATCACTATTCTTTCTTCTAAACACTGGTTTTCCTAAAGACTCACTACTGTATCAACTGCTTCTCCATAGCCTCTATGTCCAGCTTTATCATTTACAGGGATTTCATACTTTCTCACCAGTCATCCCTAAATACACTGAGTAGCTGGGGGCAAAGCCTCATCCAAAGCCACCCCTGTCCCCTCGTTTCCATGACTGTTTACTCCTAGGAGATACCTGGGTGGGCTGTATGTCCTACATTGATATTACAGCTAACATTTTCCCTTTCTTTGTGCTTAGGACTGTGGTACACCAGAGTTTGGCAATCTTCTGCTCTCCCAATTTACATGGGGAGCCTCCTGCCCACCTGTATATCTGGCTAATGACACAATGCATTCTCCATGTCCCATGAGCAGTGACCACAAAACCAGCTTTTTTCAACAGTGCTCTGGGTGCAAAGTCCTGCCAAACCCCTGCTATTTGCCAACTGCTTCAGCTCCCTTTTGGAAGGCAGCCATGGGGCAAGAGAAAATATCCCACAGCTGGCGCTGCCCCTCCACTGATGGGTCCTCCTGGCATGACTGCAGGACACATCTGGACCACTCCACTGTCTCCCACCCACTCAATCCCCTTTAGGGATCACCAACCAGGCTGTCCAGCTCACTCCAGAATGGCCCAGCCACTCCTCCCACTGCAAAGTCTGGTTGTGCAACTGCTGTAGGAGTGGGGTGGCTGCCAGCCCTCCCCTGCCAAAGCACCACGTCTCGCATATATATATCAGGAGCAAGAGGGGCTCTCTGCACAGCAGAGCTGAGACAGAGCACAGGTGGCTGAGGCTGGGAGGTAAGTGTCCCTGGGGTCTGCAAAGCCTTTCCATCCCTCCCTACTCCATGACTTGGTACTTCTGAGGTTAGTTGCTATGGGTAGTTGCAGGAACAATAAGCAAAGAGAGGCAGAAACAGTCACAGGTAAGCAGAGAGAGTTTCCTGGGTGTTATTTATAACTTCTCTGCAAGAAGGTCAGTAATCAAATAGCATACTTAGCTGGAAGGTGTTTGTGATATAAGTTAACTTCCACCATGCAGGAAAAAACCCTCTCCCAAAACAGTTAACAATAAGCAGCTCATGCTAGCACTTCCTTCATTTACAAAGGAAAAGGTCTGGTTTTCATTCCAACCTTGGAAAGCAGAGTATTCATTAGGTGCTGCCTTCCTACTAAAAGCTGAAATTGTTCTGGGAAATTTGGTGATTTTTAGAAAATACTGTGTCCAGCCCCATTTCTTTACTGCAAACCTCTTTTTTTTTTTCTGATGAGTACACCACCCTCTGTGTCTGGTGGTTGTTGAACGTGCTTCTTGGTGCAGAGGAGGCAGTGCCACCCATAGTGCTGTCTTGGTATGCTGAATTCATAACTCAGTTGAGCAGGATGCTCCCTGCCAGCACTGGGATTAAACCAGAGGCTGCAGCAGCACACCCAGAGCACCTGCATGGTGGTCCTCACTCTGGCAATGCCCAGCCTAAGCCATGGCATCTGGCCATCATCCCTTGTTTTATTGCCTGGCACTAGTAACAAGGGTTCAGGTCCATCATTCCCACTGCAGCCTTGGGAGCCTTGTAGGGCTGGACATCAGCCTGCAGGCTGCTCCTTTTTGAACCCTGGGATGGAGCCACTTGCAGCCCTGCAAAAGACATAAAAGAATCCTAAATTCAAGGTGTGCTACACCTGCAGCTGCTCCATCAGCCTCAGTGATTGTGTCAGTCTGCAGCATCTTCCCTGGGGATGGGGAACAGGACCCTGTCGGAGAAGCAGAGACTGATTAGTTCCAGGGCATATTTATTTGCTTTACTGAGAGGCAGGGGCAGATCTCCAAAGATAAAACACAAATATTTGCAAGATTGATATGGAGGGATAGTTTAAACACAACTTGTAAATAAAAATTGGCAGAGAATTGTGGCTTAACTACATACTTTCAAAGCCAGTTTCCAGGGCAACTGCAGGGGATTGGAAGCAGCCTGGTGAGCACACTGTAAAAGTGGATGGATTTATTGAAAAAAAAAATGAAAAGGGGAAAAAAAAGGAGAAGAAAATGAAGATATAAGATATTTAATAGAACTTGCAAATTAATAACCGAGAATGCTGGTGAAGGGAATGAAGGTTTGGGGATACAGAGAAATCTCCCATGGAGTATATGCTGGGAGCTGCTCCCTGAAAGGGTGATGACTGTCTGTGGGTTTTTTCCCAGGTTAAGCTCCCTTCACAGCCTGGAATCCTGGTAGGGACAGCAGGGATGAGAGTGGCCGTGGTGGGTGCAGGTGTCAGTGGGCTGACAGCCACCAAGTGCTGCCTGGATGAGGGGCTGGAGCCCACCTGCTTCGAGCAGAGCCAGGACATCGGGGGGCTCTGGCGCTACACGGTGAGCCAGGGGCACCTGCTCTCCTTCCCATGGGAGCTGCTGCTTTGCAGGCTGGGAAGCGGGTCAAGCTGGGTTCCAGTGGGGGGGAAGGGATGAGAGGGTTTGCTGGGCGCTGAGCTGTCCCAGCTGCACTTCCCAAAACCAGGGGAAGGGGAGCAGGGGGACAGTCCCCACCCTGATGCACCCTGGGGTGCCATGCCAGGAGCACATCGAGGCTGCCCGGCCAAGCCTCTACCCATCAGTCATCAGCAACACCTCAAAGGAGATGTCAGCATTCTCTGACTTCCCCTACCCTGAGGACTTCCCAGTGTTCCTGCCCAATGCCAAGCTCCTGGACTACCTCCGGCGCTATGCTGAGCACTTTGGCCTCCGGAGGCACATGAAATTTGGGGTGAGTGATGTGTGCCCTAGCACTGTGCTGCTCCCCACACGTGCTGGGTGCCAGGGGTGACTTTGCTTCACTTCCATGTTCCAGACCACTGTTGTCAGCATCCGGAAACGCCCTGACTTTGCCACCACAGGCCAGTGGGACGTGGTCACAGAGGCGGGTGGGAAGCAGACATCGCATGTCTTCGATGCTCTTATGGTTTGCAGCGGCAATTTCTCCGAGCCATCCCTCCCTCTGCACTGTTTTCCTGGTATGGTATAGGGCTACTTGCATTTACTTGCTTCCACGGTCTGGGAGGAGAATATTTAGAGGTTCTTCAGGGAAAATACTTCCTTCCTTTTCTTGCTTTTGCTTTTCAAACCTCTTTGTACAAACAGCAACACATTCTCGTGCTTCAGCAGCTTTGCCTATGAGATCCCATTTTGGAGAGGAAGCATGAATTCTGTGTGCATGGGATGGAGGGCTGGACCTCTCTGAGTCCCTGGTGGCCAGCAAGTGCACTTCCTTGCCATCTGGGTTGTTTTTATGTCAGTCATCCTAACAAAACCCACAAACGTTCAAGTATTTGAAAGTTTCATTTCTTTTTCCACAAGGCATCGAGAGGTTTCGAGGACAGTACTTCCACAGCCAGCAGTACAAGCATCCCGACGTGTTTCAGGGGAAGCGTGTCCTTGTGGTGGGCTTGGGCAATTCTGGAGTGGACATTGCAGTGGAGGCCAGTCGTGTGGCTGCCAAGGTACCACCCTCACCCCCCCAGGGTGTGAGGAGGAGGGGGATGCTGGGGGCAACAGCTCTGTTTACTGTCACCGTGGTGTACGAACGGTCTTTCTGAACTTGAATTTCTTGATCTAAAACTTACTCTGAAAGAAAGATGGCTTTCCTCTTTTCCTCCCATTTCACCTTCATTGCCAGCAGCCAAGAGGTCCTAAAGATGCTGCTGCTGCTTTCACATTGTGCAGCTGTCTGTGCCATGCCCCTCTGAGTTACTTTATGAAGGCAAAGCAGCAAATTCATCACCTAAATCATATTCTCTGCTCTCTTCCAGGTGACAATTTGCACCAGTCGAGGTGCCTGGCTGCTCACCCGTGTGTTTGACCATGGCTACCCATGGGACATGGTTTACAACACTCGTTTTATGAGCCTGATCAGAAACAACCTCCCTAGACTCCTCTCATGGAGACTCATTAACTACAAGGTGAACCAGCGTTTCAACCATGAAAACTATGGCCTTCAGCCAGAGAAGAGGTTCGTCTTGGTGGTTCCCATCCCATGCAGATGGACTTGTGGCATGGGCAATGGGAGATCTCCAGCAAGCAACATCAACCAGTGCCCAGACTAGGGTGATCTCCAGTGGGGAGTTTATAGCCCAGCAGAAGAAGATAAGCTGGAAAAGCCCAGGAATGAACAGGAGAGTTTTCCTCATTAGGCTTCCTGGAAGAAGAGAAGAAGGCAGGATGAAAGCATTGATCAGCTCTGAAAAGAGATGATTTAAAGAGTAATTGAGTGAATGGAAGAAGAAAGCAGGAGATGTCCATGCCATGCCATGCCATGGGACAGGGTGACATTGGTGAAACATGTCAGTGTTTGGAGAGGGGGGGAGGCAGGGGTGTTTACTCAGAGCAAATGACACCAGGAGGTTGTGAGCTGGTGGGCCTAGGGGGAGGAGGAACAGGTGCACCTGACAGAGCTTGTTCATGGTTTCCCATTCTCAGAGCTCCTTGTCCCTTCACAGCTGCCTGGTGCGTGAGCCCGTGCTGAGTGACGACCTTCCAAGCTACATCCTGACAGGGAGGATCACCATCAAGCCAGGCGTGAAGGAATTCAAGGACAATTCAGTTGTTTTCCACAACTGCCCTAAGGAGGAACCTATCGATATTGTTGTCTTCTGCACAGGCTATGATGTTTCCTTCCCGTTCTTAGAAGAAGCAGATGTCAAGGTGGAAAACAAGCATGCATCTCTCTACAAATACGTGTTCCCAACCCACCTGCAGAAGCCCACCCTGGCTGTCCTTGGGCTCATCAAGCCTTTAGGAGGCATCATGCCCGTTATAGAGTTGCAAGCACGCTGGGTGACTCGTGTCTTCAAAGGTAGGAGAGCTAACATGAGCTCTCCCATGTACCAAAATGCAGTTCAGGCTGGACACTCTTGGACACACCAAGAGGGATTTCTGTCTTTGGAGATCCCACAGCTAAGAAGCTCACTTCAGAGTGGACAAGTGTTTCTAGGGCTCACACTTCCCATTATTTCGCTTCAGCTAAGCTACAGCAGCAAGAGTGAGGAAATAAACCTACAGGGGTTTTGTTTGATGAAAATAATAATTATTATTATTATTATTTATTGTTATTAACAACAATAGCAGCAACCTCCCCCCACTGGGCTGATGTGGAGTGCTGCACCAAGGCTAATCTACAGAGCCAGGGGAGCTCTGGGATTTCTCTTTGAGATGATTGTCCCTGGGTTCACATAGCCCATCTTGCCCCACATCATCTTCCTGTGCCCTGACATCTTAAATCTATAAGAGTAGGAAAAAGTCCCTGTGACTTTGTACCACCATGGAGGGCTTGTCTCTGGCAGAATTGCTACTGCTGAGCTAAGTCCAAACATCAAGACTTTCCTGCCTTCCCCAGGGAACAGCTTCCTGCATTTTGCATCACTGAATGAGTTCACAACTCCCCACAGGAGTTCAACTCTGCAGGATGCTCTCCTCTCTTTTCTAGGCTTGTGTCAGTTGCCTCCTCAGTCTGTTATGGAGAAGGAAGTAAATGAGAAAAAGAAAAACAAAGTGAAATGGTAAGTCATTCCCCAGAACCCCAAAGATTTTTTTGGTAGATTGAAAAATCCCTAGAGTTTTGGGGGCAGCAATACACAGTCTCATCCTCTGCAGCTGCTCCCTGCATACACAGTGGGGGTGACAGGGGGATGCCCAGATCCAGCCTCCCCTTTACTCACTTGTACTGAACCAACATAACCTTTGATTTGATGATGATATTTTGCCTGTTGATGATAGGAAGAAATGAATTCAGGGTATTCAAGACTAAAGCTTGTTTGGGAGTTGAGGAAGCATGTCAGGGTCCCTGGGGGACTGAGTGAGAAAATGGCAGAGAAATTAATGGTAATGAATGCAAAGTAATTCAGCTGGGGGGAAAAAAGCCAACCTGAGTTGCACATACAAATTGTCTCACCTCTCAGCATGAAGACCTGACTCACTGTGAGCTGGTGTCTAAGCACACTAGTGTGTGGTTCACAGGCAGGCAAAAGGCTAAGAAATGTTAAGGAAAGAAGGAGATAAATGCAGGAAAGTGGGCAATGTATTAATCCATGGTTCACCTAGATCACTGTAGGAGAAAAGCAGTAGTGAAATACAGAATTGCTCAGAAGAATTGCTGTACAATACAAGGTTAAATGCACGTGGCTTTTTTCAGCCCACCAAAGGTGGCACATGAAGCTGTGAATTCTGCAGAGAAGGTGAGCTGGAAACAATTCTCCAATTCACCATGCATTGTGCAATACTTAGTGGAAATCAATGTGAGAGAAACTAAGAGGTGCTGCCTTTGTCATACTGCATGTGACTTCTCTGCAGAGAGCAAAGGGAAAACTACTTTAAAAAATACCAAAGACCAGTTTGACAAAGTCTCTTAACAAAGGTCCACCAAGGTGAAGGGGGGTCAGATGCAACTTGTGGCTAATGAAGTGAAAGATTGGCTGATAGGCATGAGCTATCATCACTTTAGATGTATTGTGTCATGAGCAGGACTCAGCCCAGGCAGACACAGGTTCCCACTGCATGTACACCCAGTCCTCTCCTAGAAGGAACCCAGTTGCATTCAGATGCAATAACAACAGGGATGCAGAGGACCTGCACTCCAGTTCCT